TTCTCTGTGGGAGCTGTTCTGCTTCATACAAATGACTATTTGAAAGTATAAAAGGATAAGAAAGAGATGGAATCAAAGAATCACAGAATCATTTAGATTGGAAAAGGCCTCCAAGATCATCCAGTCCAGCCTGTGACTGATCCCCACCTTGTCACCCAGCCCAGAGCACTGAGTGCCACGGCCAGTTGTTTCCTGAACACCTCCAGGGATGGGGACTCCACCACCTCCCTGGGCAGCCCCTTCCAAAGCCTGACAACCCTTTCAGCGAAGAAATTCTTCCTGATGTCCAACCTGAACCTTCCCTGGCACAACTTAAGGCCATTCCCTCTTGTCCTGTCCCTTGCTCCCTGGGAGTAGAGCTCTACCCTCCCCTGGCTCCCCCATCCTGTCAGGGAGTTCAAGAGAGTGAGAAGTCCCCCCTGAGCCTCCTTTTCTCCAGGCTGAGCCCCCCCAGCTCCCTCAGCCACTCCTGGTTCTCCAGCCCCTTTCCTATCTCCATTCCCTTCCCTGGACACGCTCCAGCCCCTCCACGTCTTTCTTGGAGTGAGGGGCTGTACAATTTCTAATACAATTTGTAAAAGAAATCTAAAAATTCTCAAGGAAGTTGCAAGAGTGAAGGAGAAGCAAAGGCACCTCCTGGACCAACCTGATCCAGAGCCCATACAGGGTTGTAGGAACCAGAGACCCTCCACTTGTGGGTTCATTCTGGTAATAAACAATGGTGCTGGTAATCAGGAGGAAACCTCACAAGGGCAAATGGCCCTTTTTGGCCATGTCCAGGCTATTAAGAGCTCTCCCTGCCCCATACGAGTGCCTTCAATCCAGCTGCCCCTTGGGTAATGAAAACATCCTGGAGCAGTGGATAGTGCAGTGTCCTGCAATGCTAAACACAAGCATTTCATAAATTGATGTTGACTTCAGGCTCCTATAGCTCAGGCACCAGGAAAATGTTTTATCCTTGTCTTGCTCTTACAGTTTTCTCTAAGCATCTCCCAGTTAACAAGTCTGGAGACACAGAACAGGGCTAACCAGCCCCAGTTTGGATCTGACTCCGCGTTCTCCTTCTCTCAGCCGCCACTTCGGTGGAGAAATGAAATGTCATGAAAATAAGACAAGTTTTTCGTGTGCTTCTCATATTTTTGGATTTTTATCATCCAGGTCAGATGGCAAAGTTTGAGTGACATGAGATGGAAATGGGGAAACTGTGTCAAGTCATAAACTGGGAATGCTGGATTTTCATAGAATCCTGAAACGGTTTGGGTTGGAAGGGAATTAAAGCTCATCCCATTCCAGGCCCCTGCCATGGGCAGGGACACCTTCCATTATCCCAGGTTGTTCCAAGCCCTGTCCAACCTGGCCTTGGACACTTCCAGGGATCCAGGGGCAGCAACCTGTTGCCTCTGGGCAACCTGTGCCAGGGCCTCACAGCCAAGAATTCTTTCCCAATATCCCACCTAACCCTGCCCTCTGGGAGTGGGAAGCCATTCCCCCTTGTCCTGTCACTCCATGTTGATGTCAAAAAAAAAGAAACTCATCCTATAATTTGACCATCTAACCCAGTGAAATAAAGAAATTACAATATTAATCTATTAATGTTACTAGCTATTAAGATTTTAAGTCCTTCCTCACAGTGCCCAAGAAATGAAGAGTGTGGGACACTCAAAATATCAAGTCACTTCTTTGTTTTTAAAGCATAAATCAAATTCTTTTATGGTCTGAGTTTAGCTGTGGGTGTTAAGCACAAAAAAATTGTGATGTTAATGATGTCACTGGCTATCTTATGCAAACTGAGGTTTAAAAGGGATAAAATAAAATTATAAAATATAAATAATTACTTTTTTGTCCTTTCTCTTGACTTTATCTAAAAACTTTCCTGCCTGTCAGGAAATAAAAATAAACTTTGATTTCTCATGTCCTTTATCCATTTCTAACACAAACATTGCTGAGCTGTTGCAGGAAGAATAAAGTAGAAATAAAATGGAGTTTCTTGCTGCAAATTCACAGATAGAAAGGAATTTCACATCTTTTTGCCTTTTAAAGCTTATTTTTGGAAAAAGTTATATACATACACTTGCATATATTTAAGAGGTGAAATTTTGATTTATATTTTGCAACCTTGGTTGTAATGGAAAAATATGACCCCTAGATGGCAGAAATTCCTTCTCTTGGGGTGTTTTGTTTGGTTTTAATCCCTGCACAGGATGCCACAATCCCAAATTTTAGTATAATAGATGGATTTGTAAATGCTCAGCCCTATCTAAGGCTGGAGATCTCATTCCATGGTGTGGCACCATCCAGCTCTAAACCTCACCAAATCTGCTTTATGCTTCTCCTGCTGCAAACTTGATGTTAAACTGCACCTCTCTGTCTTCTTAGTCAGACAGATCTGATGCTTTTTGGTGGCCAGTCATTTAGTCTAAGTCTAAAAGGAGCTCAGGATGAGCTCAGTGCCCAAATATGAGAGGATCTGGATTATTTGGATGCATTGGTGCAGCGTGACAGAGAGATGGGGGCATTACAAAACTCTTTGCACAGTCCTGCCAGTACAACTCTCAGGAGGGGGGGGTAAAAACTGCTTCCTAAAAGTTTAATATCTGGATAAGGGGGTCACTCAGCTGTTTTTTGCCCTCCATGGAGTGAGACAGGTCCATTCCTCCTCCTTGGGGCATCCACTTCATCCAAGGAGCAGTGCTTGGTGCCTCACCCTTGTACCCTCATACCTTCTTTGACCGAGGGAATTGGGATTGTCCAGCTTGCAGAAGAGAAGGCTTTGGAATAACCTAATTGTGGCCTTCCAGTACCTGAAGGGAGCCAATAAGATAGGTGGAGAGAGACTTTTTACAAGGCCTTGGAGTGAGGGGGGACAGGATGAGGGGAAATGGCTTCAAGCTCAAAGAGCATTGATTTAGATGAGATTTTAGGAAGGAACTCTTCTCTGTGAGGGTGGTGAGGCCCTGGCACAGGTTACCTGGAGAAGCTGTGGCTGCCCCTGGATCCCTGGAAGTGTCCAAGGCCAGGTTGGATGGGGTTTCGAGCAATCTGGGATAGTGGAAGTTGTCCCTGCCCATGGCCAGAGGGTTTGGAACAAGATGGTCTTTAAGGTCCCTTCCAACCCAAACCATTCTGTGATTCTGTGCTTCTTTTTCTGGAATTTATGGCTTCCCATCCCCATCTGGAAGCTGAGGGCAGCACAGGCTTGGAAGTGATGGGATAGTTGGCAAAGAAGGTGTTCACCTGTTCACAAAGAAGGCAAGCACAGGGTGACAGGATGGGCCACTGGGAATGAAACCGGCTTTTATTTATCTGCCTTACCTTGTCCTTCCTCTCTTCTGGCTCTGTGCAACAGGCAGGACTTTTCTTTGCTCATTTCTACCTCTTTACCTTTTTAATTCTCTTTTCCCACCTCTGTTCTTCTCCAAGGGTTCCTTGACCTTGGCCAAAACTACACTGATGTAAATCTTCAAGATTTATGGCCATCTCATACCCTCCAGGAGCGTGTCCTACACTTATAACTATGTATTAAAACCACCAGTCATGGGTAAATCTGAAGGATATGAGGCAAAAATAATTATTCTGCCAGTAAAATGGAGCCCATGGAAGTAGGAAACCAAGGAGCAAAACCTTGACTGTAGCCCAGCATTGACCAAAGAATGTGGGATAACCCTTGGTATTATCTAGTTTAGTTACTTAGGCCCTCATGGATTCTCATGTCCCTTGCCCGTGTTGTGGGTCACTCTGTGCTGCAGGAAGGTGTTTTCTGCTCATGGGGGGAGAGAGGAAAGGGCTACAAAGCAAAAGTCAAGGTGCTGCTGAACACAGCTCATCTCACCTGCCTGTCAGTGCTTCTGGCCTGTTCTTTTATATCTCATCAGGTCTGTAGGTTCTTATATTGACCATAAACCTCTGGCAGATAATCCCAGCCAGTGATTGACCTCACCATAAATCCCAAACCTACCTGTGGCCTGAAGAGTCTCTTCATGGGCTGTGCTGGTTGGGTTTCTGTTGGCACTAACAAGGGAATGAACACCCGCCTCTGGTGGAGAGGTCTGTGCCACAGACAAGAGGTGTGTCATTCAGCTGCCCACACATGGGCACTTGGGGACATTCGAGCTGTCCTGCAGCACTTGAGACATCCCTATCCCCTGGCAGGTGTGGCATGGGAGATCTCTGTCTTCTGGGCCAGCACCTGGAGGTCTGATGGGACAGCCTCGAACATCTCACACAGAAGGAGATGTCCATTGTTAGAGACCTGAGCAGAAAAATCAGGTTTCCAGTAATAAGTTCTCAGCAGACTGGTTGAACAAACCATCCTAGATGCCTTCCTTGTTGCACTGATGTCTCTCAGCAAGGAAAACTCCACCAACATGTGCAAATTGCACAGCAGAGAGGAGAAGAAGCCGGGATCAGGTTTCAGCTTGTCCCAGGTAAGAGTCTCTGGCATTGTGCTGATAAAATTCTAAAGTCAGTAAGAAATTAAATTATGATCCTGAAGGAACCAAAGGGCCTTGAGCTGAAGGGAAAGAGAATTGAGGTGACAGGGTAGAGGTGGTCACCCATGAATATAGCCAGTCCCAGAGCAAGAGCTGACTTCCATGTGGAGCTGAGGACACCCCAAGGGATGCCCCTGAAGTGGCCACAAAATTTGGGAACCCTTGCATCCTTTTCTTTCATCTTAGAGCATGTAAAGGACTTTTAAAATTGACAAGGAGGGAAAACTGTAATTTGAAACTAATATAATAAGTTTCTGGGGGTTGTTGTGATCCTCAAACCAAAAGGATCATTTCATGCTCTCAGCAACCCTGAGTGCCTCAGGGCTGGATCTTTATAGCTCTTTAAAGTAAAATACCCTGGAAACTGCTGAGTTCTTGGCTGGAGAGTTATCAAGCAGAATGGGGATCAGCAGGGCCCAAATAAAAGGCAAAATAATAATAGAATAATCAGGACTTGCACCAAAATACCCCTGTGCAGCCCCAAGAGCAGGTGCTTAGGCGAAAAGCTGGGTCCTTCAAAGAGGGCTTCACTTCAGCTCCCAAAAACATGGCATGTGAGCGATCTTTGCCTGGATGTTGTTATTTCCTGAGGATAATGACCCTGTGTGTGAGAGCTGTGGCCACTCTGCTGCCTCCATCCAGGGGCAAAGAGGGATCCATCCAGCAGGGGTGGGAAAAGGCTTGTTGTGTCCTTGTGTCCTCCCTGGGAAGGAACACTCTGAGTCCCAGGGGGACAAGTCTCAGCCCCCTTACCCCATCATGGAAAAGAAGTCTGGCAAGGAGTGGGATCAGGAACAGCAGGATTGGGCCCTGCATCTTGGTTTGGCACTTTCATCCCAACAGCCTTCTGTCCGGGGATTCGGAGAATACTGCGGAGATGGGGAAAGGAAGGAATAGAGTTTCACCTCTTATTCTTTTATCATGGCAACAATGTGCTGTGGGAAAAAAAAATAAAAAAGAAGAAGAAGAAGTTGTAAATGGCAGAATTAACAATAATATAACCCCCCATCCCTCCTCCCTCTCCCTCTGCCGTCCATTCAGGAGACCGACAATAAACAAGGTCATTTGATTCATTCAGCTCAGGGTGTAAACAAAGCCTCACAATAAAATCCCCCCCCTTTTTCTCCAAGAATAGATGTCCCCCCTTTACGCCGGGTCCCCCCCCCCTCCGCCCCCGGCTTTGCTTCTCCTCTCCCATCATCCCTGGATCGGCGGCCGCGGGAGTCCCAGCCCTGCTGCCACTTCCTCAGTCCCCATTCCCGGCTCCGTGAGGCCCCGCTTCCTACTCGGTGTGGGAACCTCGGCTTCCCCCGGGCAACATCTGCACGGATGGCCCCACTTTCTCATGCCGGGAGCAGCCCGGCCTCATCCCGGGCTCCTGATCCAGGGAGAGAGAGAAAGGAGGGGGGAAAAAAATAATAATGAAACAAATCCGACCCAACAATAAAGGGATTTGCACCCCCCCCTCCCTGGCCCGCAGGGAGCAGATCCCAAAGGTTTACGGTCAGCTTCATTTTTTCACAGGCTTTGCTGGAATCTGTGTGGAAAAATAAGTGTGTGTGTGTGTGCACTAACAGTGGGTGCAAGGAGATGTGTAGGATGGGATCCAGAGGGATGTATGAGCCTCTACTTGCGATAGGGAAGGTGATAATACAATCATGGAATGGTTTGGATCAGAAAGGACCTTCGAAGGCCATCTAGCCCAACCCCCTGCCATGGGCAGGGACACCTTTCACTAGACCGGGTTTCTCAAAGTCCTGTCTAACCTGGCCTTGAATGTTTCCAGGGATGGGGCATCCACCACCTTTACACCTAGGAAAGTTCTGAGACCATCTCTACCTCATATCTTACTTAAAGTAATTCCTAGAGAGGATTCAGTGGATGTCAAGCCTATGACCCACACACCTGGGGATGTATCCCCATTTGACATCTCCACCCTGCCTGTCTCCCCTGCCCGTCTCCCCTGCCCCCTACACAAGCTCAGATGACACTTATGGGTCCTGCCTGTGGGTTGCTGCCCAAATATTGGGATATCTTGCATCACAGATGTTCACCAGAAGCTCCCCTTACCTTTGGGATTCCTTCCAGTGCCTTGCAATGGCTCCAGGGCCTGGTGGGATGCAGGAAGGGAGATCTCAGCGTGCACATGGAAGGGACCCCATCCAAGCTGTGCCTGGAGAAACTTGGGTTGGTGGAAGGTGTCCCTCTCTGCCCATGGCAGGGGGTTGGAACAAGATGACCTTTAAGGTCCCTTCCAACCCAACCCATTCCATGACTGTGACTTCACACTTTGGTCAAGACAGATGGATAGGAGGAACAACTCTCCTAACACACACAGTTTTGCTTCCTGTCTCCCAAGGACAAAGACTCACTGCTGAGTTTAAACACTGGGAAATCTGGCTCAGCTTTTGCCTCTTGACTCCACACTAAACTTTCACTACATGACTTCAAACAGCCCAAATCCTCAAATTCCTACTTGGAAGCACTGAAATAACAGTGGGGTAAAGCACCTTCACTCCTGTGCCTCAGTTTCCTACTTGCTTTTTTTCTTGGTGTTCAGCTACTCACTTTACTTAAATTGCAGATTTTCAGCATCAGGGGTTGCCTCATGATATTTCCACACCACTCAGTACAGGAGAAAACAGCTCAACTTTTACAACTGATCTAATGCCACGATGGTGTCTTGAGTGCCATAATAATAATAAAAATAATAAAAAGGGATCAGTTATTCCTTCCCAGGGGAGGAAGGTTATTTTCAGAGATGCTCAAGCGATGGATAATAAATAATTCTAACACAAAGCCCATTTTTTGCAATGTACTATTTGCAACACCACAAATCTGGCTGTGTTTTTATTTTTTTCTTTTCTGATGAATCCCTCCCACAATTTCTTTTTGGGATAAGAAGTTAATTTTCTTGTATTTTCTGGAAGAGAATTTTTGAAATAAAAACTGAGAGAGGCTGAGCTGCAAGAGGGAAGAAAATTGTAGCCAAATCATCATTTGGTACTGCAAGAAATCCCAGCCAATGGCAATGAACTTCTGCTTCAAGTATGACCTGCAGAACATAAATAAGTCTTCTAGGCAAGGAAAATGCCTCTCTTCCTCCCTCTCCCACACACCTGCTCACAGATACTGTAAAAATGTCTCATTTCATCTGCTAAAGCTTTGGCAGGTGCACTGAGGTGTTCCCTGACAGGTGTCCTCCAGAAGAACATCCAGTTGAGGTCACCAGGCAGCCTGTAGCAGATTTTGTCTCCTCCTTCTGGGAGCAGATCCATGATTGTGTGTTCACTGCTGTTCTGGTGAAGGGGGGATTGCTTGTCTGGCAGGGAAGTGGTGGAATCACCCCTGGAAACGCTGATAGAATTTGTTGATGTGTCATTTGGGGACATGGATTAGTGTTGGCCTTGGCAGTGCTGGGGGAATGGTTGGGCTCGATGATCTTAGAGGGCTTTTCCAACTTAATAATTCTGGGATTCTGAGTTCGTGCTACACAACATTTAAGCTTCAGAAGTCACCACTTTCTGGAAGTTCAACGTGGCAAAGTTTCATGCTGTCAAACACCAAAAGACTCCTTGATTAGATGAAGTCTCTCTGTACAGACTTTGCAACTTGTCTGGGGTGTGTATGCAGGAAAGCCAAGGCAATGGGACAATCCTGGGGTATGTCACTGGGATTTTCCCAGTCTCCCTGTAGATATAGCAGAACCAAAACAATACCCCAGAGCTGGGAAATTATGAAAAGGACAAAACATGGAATACTTAAGGTTGGAAAAGACCTTTAAGATTTTTGAGTCCAACCATTCCCCCAGCACTGCCAAGGCTGCCACTAAACCACATCCACATGGCTGTTAAATCCCTCCAGGGATGGAGACTCCACCACTGCCCAGAGCAGCCTGTTCCACTGAGAAATTATTCCTAATATTCAACCTAAACCTCCCCTGGTGCAACTTGAGGCTGTTTCCTCTTGTCCCATTGCTTGTTCCTTGGGAGAAGAGACCAACCTCAACCTGCCTACAGCCTTTTTCAGGGAGTTGTGGAGAACATGCTGTATTTTTTCTCCAGTGGACTTCTTTGAACTGTATTAGGACAATTCCAGGTCTGATTTTCTGATTTGCAGCCCAGGTTTTCCATGGGCTTAGCACCTGCTCTTGGGGAACGATGTGGCCTCTCAACACGGCAATAAGAAGGAAGTTTCCTTTTTGAAGCTGCTTGAGGGGATGCATTTGAAGGGCAAAGGAAAACTTCAGCTCAATCCCTGGGAATTCTTCTCCAGCCAAGAAATCTGCATTGTTGGAAAGAGTCTCCCAGAGGAAGTGATTGAAATATGATTGTGTGAATCATATCTGTAACAAGGTTGGGCCGCAAGAAGCTTTGCTGAACCCTGGGAATAAGCTAAATGACCTAAAAAGACTTTGTTTTCCTTGCAGGAATGGCCTTTAGCAGCCCAAGTGAAGCGAAGGCTGATGGTTTTGGAGGTCCACCAAAGCTGGGGTGTCCCCAGCATTACCTGTCATCAACTGTGCTGCACAAGGTGCTCCAGTACAGCTGTGGGATGGATTGCCTGCTATTTAGGGAATCTGAGGTACCTCAAGTGATGACCCTTGTGGTGATAAAATCTGCATGGGGTGTGTTCTCGTGGTGTGGCTCATGTGTGGGCTTTGCTGAGGCTCAGAGCAGCCGTGGTCAAGGATGGGCACCATTGGGGCAGTGATGGGGCCATGGGGACAGGGGAGATGGGAGGGTGAGGATGGCAGGTAAGTTTGGGGCCCTGCTCTGGGGATGGTGGCTGGTGCAGGGGTGGGAAAGGATATTTGGAAGGCGATAAACAGTCTGGGGAGGGGGGTTTTGTGCAGGGGTGAGGAGGCCGGATGGAGCCATAGAAACAAAGAATCATGGAATCATAGAACCCCAGAATGGTTTGGATTGAAATGCACATTGAAGGTCATCTAGTCCAACCCCTCTGCCATGGGCAGGGACACCTTCCACTAGCCCAGGTTGCTCCAAGCCCCGTCCAACCTGGCCTTGGACACTTCCAGGGATCCAGGGTCAGCCACAGCTTCTCTGGGCAACCTGTGCCAGGGCCTCACCACCCTCTGAGTAAAGAATTTGTTTCTAACATCTAATCTAAGCATTTTCTCATTTAGTTTAAAACCTTTCCCCCTTGTCCTTCCACTCCAGGCCCTTGTGCAAAGTCCCTCTCCAGCTCTCTTGGAGCCCCTTTAGGCACTGGAAGGGGCTCTGAGATCTCCCCGGAGCCTTCTTTTCTCCGGATGAACACCCCCAGCTCTCCCAGCCTATCTCCAGAGCAGAGGGGCTCCAGCCCTCCAAGCATCTCCGTGACCTCTCCTGGACCTCCTCTAACAGGTTCACATCTTCCTTGTGCTGAGGACTCCAGAGCTGGATGCAGCATTCCAGGTGGGTCTCACAAGGTGACACAACATCTCTAGAAGGAATGGTATCCATGAACTCGGTTAGGATCTGGACCACATGTCTTGCTTACAGCAGAGCAGGGATTAATTCCAGACATACTTTCCATGACCAATCTTGCTCTGTACTATTTCTTCTACCTGTTTCCCCCATCAAGACGCTCAGGTCTCTCTGGAGCCTTCCTCCAGGCCGAACATCCCAAGCTCTCCCAGGCTGTATCCACAGCAGAGGTGCTCCAGCCCTCAGAGCATCTTTGTGGCCCTTCCCTGTGGACTTTCTCCCTCAGGTCCACATCCTCCTCATCCCCATCCAGATAGATCTTCAAAGTGTCAACCATCAAGAGCTCCCAACTCTTTCACTGGGTCTTGTAACCCCACATTATTCCAACCTTAGCCATGCACTACATGTCTCTCATCCTTTTTCTCAGATAGCCTCAACCTTAGAAGATCTCTCTGTCATCCACCCCTTGAAGTTCAGATTTATCATCCTTGCCTTTGGGGCCCTGCACGACGCTGCCCCTTTCCTGCTCATTCTTCCTCTTCCTTCCTCACATACAAGTGGTAAATGCCCTCCCTGAGCCCAGAGCTGCTGACAATGTCATTTCTGAGGGAAAGAGGAGACAAGTCTAGGAAACAACCACCAGCCTCTGCAGGCCTCTCATGTGCAATTTGGACAGTGGTGTTGGCTTGAGTAAGAGCTGAGCAAAAAAATATGTTTATTTGTCCCATTGTTCAGGAATTATTAAACACGCAACGTGGAAGGGAGCGAATCCCTGGGCAAATGCAGTCACTGACAGGTGTTCCATGCCATTGTTACCAGGGCTGGTATAAATCTGTGCCAGATTGGGAGTGTTAAATATAGGGAATTGGATGAGCTGTTAATGTTTGCCTTAGTTGGAGGGGGTTGAGACGGGCAGTAAGGATGTTTGGCAAGACAAAACAACTATGAAAAATAATAGGTATCTGTTAAAGTTACCTAATAAACAGCAGTTTGGATAGTTTGTGCAGTTTGTCATCATGGAATGGTTTGGGTTGGAAGGGACCTTAAAGATCATCTCTTTCCAATCGCCCCTTCCTTCTGCCTGTTAAGGCAGAACAGGAAGATTTGTAATATATTTGGTAGCTTCCTCGTGTTCGTGTCAACTGCTTTGTAATTTCAGGAAAGGTGCACTCAGATTTTAAGCTCCTTTTTCTGTCTGTAAAAATAGATGAGTTTTAAGGTCCTTTCCAACCCAAACCTTTCTAGGATTCTGTGGTTCTGTGAATTGTGGAGTTTGGCAGTGCTGTCTTTGGATGGGAAAGGGGCTTGGGAGGGAAGTCAGGCTGTGTTTGACAGGGAGAAATTGGCTTTTCCTGGTGTTATGTAGAGACCTGGAGGGTCTTTTTGACCCTTTTGAGTTGGGAGCTGGAGGGTCTTTTTGACCCTGTGGACAAAGCTGGCCTTAACATAGTGTGATTAAGGGACAATTTAATCCTCTGGCTAATGCTTTCCTAGACAGCAATCAGAGCTTAATATCACCTGCTCTCTCCACAGAGATGAGCCCAGCCTAGTGAGGCTGAGGAGCTGTGTTCCCCCAGTCACAGCTGGTGTGTTGCTGTGGGTGGGCAGGCATGGACATCTCACCAGGAAGGACGAGTGGCCTACTTAAAATGGAATTTTAGGGCCTTCAAGCCTTGGATGCTTGAGGAAGCCTTCTGATCTGAGCTGTGTGGTACCACCTTTCTGTCAGGTCTGGAAGGGGACGCACCACAAAAGCTTGGAGAAGCTTTGCCATTGACCT